TCGTTCGTTGTCTCTCTCTCTCTCTCTCTCTCTCTCTCTCTCCATTTCTCTCGTATAGCCATAGTGCCCACCACGATAATATCGACACGCTATTAAAGTTTTCCCTCATCCCATCCGTCCCGTTCAATTCCAATCTGCCGCGCTCTTAGCGATGATCGCTCCTCGATTCCCGTACATCGCGTTTTTTTCACATCTTTCGCGGAATAATACTCGCTCGCTTTTATCTAGTAATTACAGCGGAAATACTTGAGAGGCACCGTTACGCGCTCTCGAGCCCGTTAATTGCTTCGCCACTTATTTAATCTAATCTACGAAACTTATCGAGATCCGAGCGATATGTTATTCGCGCGTATCTCTACGTACACATTACGTGTATGCGCAAACACGTAATCTTTCCCCGCGTCGATTGGCGCGTACAGATGAGCAGCCCCCCGATATCGGGCTGCGGCGATATAGTCCGCGATCGCGCGAGATATAACGATCGCGAGGCCGTGAGTTGCGTAAACGATATTATTGACACGCGGAACTTTTGTCGTTCTTTTGTAGCAACAGAGGCCGGATTTGCCGAGACTTCTGCAACAGATGCACGCCCAGCAGCTGCCACCGGGCGCGGCGATGGGACCGCATCCGGGTATACCCGGACTTCCTGGTTTGGGCCCCGGCGCGGGTATACCGGTCCCCACCTCGGCATCCGCGGCCCTTCTCGGTTTAGGCCTTCCCCCAGGAGCGGCTGCTACCCCCGGAGGTACAGCCGCGCATCCTCTGTCGATGCTGACGAAACCGGAACTGCATCGCGGTCAGCCCGACGATCTTAAGCCTAACGGAGGTAAGTTGTGTGAATTTTCTTTTTTTTATTTATTTATTTATTTATTTTTTTTTTTTGCCATTCTTGCCCCAAAAAATACCTTAAGATATCTTCAAGCGTTCAGATCAAGATATTTGAAATTAATATATATTTTGACAATATTTTTAAAAAAGGATTCAAAATTGAAATATTTGAAATCTTGACATCTATTAAATTGTACGCAAAATTTATCAAGAGGAAGTTTTTTTCTCGTAATCTTCGGACGATTCTTTTTCTTCGTCGGTCGACACGTGTAAATTCGCATCTCACTCTCGACGAGCGTGTAAAGTCGAGTGTGTTGATAGAAAAGAGTCAATTCGTAGAAGCTTGTCGGTTCCAGTCGACCGGCCGACACTCTCGCGCACTCAGCGAATCGTGAATATTTCGCGCGCCAAACGATCCGTTTAACCGTCTCGTTCGCAGAAGCGCATCCACAGCTTCGCCTCGTGTTTCGCGTTCGCTCGGCTACCTGCTGTTCAATCGCTTATCTTCTCTTTTGCGAGAACAGGCCGGTAACCGATCCTCATGAGACGATATGTTGTTGTTTTCTCGTAATCTCATCGATGATTCAGCGATATATATATACGCAGCGACGACGAACGTAAACACGATTAATCCGTCGAGAGGCCGTCGATGTAATAGATGAAAACTGCTTGTGAGAGCTTTTTAAGAAGAGAGACCACTTGGAGAGTGGTATACGATACGGCGAGACCGTTCCAAAGTCGCGCTGAAATTAAGCGGAACCTTTTTGTGCTATTTTAAGTGCGGTCTGGAACGAACGAGCCGATGACGCAAACGACCGTGCTTAAGCCCGAGAGAAGCTCCTGAAACTCTCGATCTTGACCTCGAGAATCCTCTCGGG